CATTTTTACGTGGATGGCAATATATTTAAAACCTATGGTATTACATTAGTGAAAAAAAAGATTTTGAATTCTCCTTTTACAAATATTTGTATGTTCATTTTCCCAAGGCAATACACGATACGTCCAAAAATAAAGAAATTTATTTGATTAACAATTAACCTTATTGGGTACATACATATCGGAGATAGGAACAAGGTTGTGTACATTTTTATGTAGATGACAATATATTTAAATCCTATGGTATTACATTTGTGAATAAAGAGATATTAAATTCTCTTTGTACAAATAAATATTTGTTTTCCCATTAAGAAAATCAATGTCGTTAACAAATCTGGGGTACATTTATATAAGTATATCCATGAATATCAAAACCCAATCATTTCACACACTTGAAAATTACAAATTGACAAATGAAGATGGGTTAATATTTCCTTTAAAAAAAATTAAAATATATTGTTGTTGTTACTTTGCAAAAAGTAAAGAGGTGTGCATTTTTATTAGATTAACAATTTAATTTTTTTTAAAATGACAGTAAAATCTGATATAGGCGTGTAAAAGAGTTGCGAGATTGGTCTTAGATAAAGAATTCTTTGTTTTCAGATTATCTGATAATGTTTAATTTTTAAAAAAAAGGCAAAACTGAGTTTAAAATTTTGATGAAGATATCAATATATATCGAATTCTTGTAATACAAAATATATTTATATCATATATAGAGTTTTTGTTGTAAATTTAAGATTAGGTTTTCTAAAAATTTTGAGAATAAAAAAGTTGTAACTCAAGGGCACGAAAAGGCTTAAGTCTAAATTGTTTCTCTAGCGTAGTAATTGTCCCTCAATTAATTTCTTTAGTGACAAAAGTGATATAATTAGTGATAATCTAGACTCGGTAATTTAAGGTCATGTTTAGAGGGAGAAAAGTAGTTTAGAGGGAGAAAAGTAGTTTAGGGGCGGGAAAGAGTGTAGGGTACGCGTATCATATATAGCAGATAAAAACTTCTAAAAATTAATGATGTTAGAATCGTAAATATCATTACATTTTAAAAGTTGTGAATTGGGATGAGTTTTTGCAATACCTGTTAGAATTTATCGCAAAGGACCTAAAATTATTATCTTGATAACATCGGGTCATTTACTCTAGTCTTTAAATAACTGGCAAGATAAAACGACCATCCAAAGACTAATCTGTTCCAGGCAAAACGATCGTCCCTGATCCGTAAAATAAAATCGAGAACACCGTTCAATGAAAAAGCCAATACTTTGCTTATAATTACCACTCACACTCAAGAAATTAACAGTTATTCTTACATTACAATAATTCGTCGGAAGCCTTTACTACACACTGCTTTTATGAAACAACGAAAAATTCAAATAAAGCATCTGAAAAAAGTTTGTACCATAAATAAATTAAAAAAAAAGAAAATCCATTTATATGAATCGATACAAATATTATTTTATCTTATATTATATAAACAGTAAGTCACAAAAGAGATATAGTCTATAAGAAAAGTATAGGTTTATAGGGTGCATTATCAAACGTTTTTAAATTTTATCATTTTTAGAATTTTTAAATCTTTCAATTTGTTTTAGGGTCCCTGGTCCCTCAGGTCACTAATGTACATTTTAATTTTCACTTAATACTTGGAGCTATCATATGTTTACATTTAAATCGTAATTTTAGGGGTCTTATTATTTTTCAAGAATGTAATGTGCCAAAATATTACAGAAAAAAGGTTTTGGAAAAAAGCTTTCTCATTTAAAAAAATTTACTAATCAACCCTACTGCGTGTTATTTTGTCAATAATCGCTCACCCAAAGCTAGACAGGGTTCAATGTAGATCATCCTAAGTACATAGAAATGTTAATGTCAGCTCCATTTCATCTAAACAAGAAAATTGGAAAGGTATAGTGAACAGATCCTAGGGAACTCCCAATACCGGATTCCGCAGAATAGGTCAAACACTGATCATATTTTTACCTTAGTAAACTAGGTATGATAAATATGTTTGACGACATTTAATTAAAGAAACAAAATAAAATATTTAAAAATTAAATATACATTTGTATATACATAATATATATAGGGCCTACATATATTTATGTATGTGCATACATTTAATTTCTTTAAATTTTGTTGTTTATATAAACACTGATAAATAAATATATATATATATATA